GGGAGGGACAGTGGGAGGGAAGGGAAGAGGAGGAGGCAGAGGGAAACTATTTACAGCTCAAAATTTATTTTTAAATATTCAGCTGATTCATCAGCTAGATTTTTTCAACACGCCTTAACAAGAAAATATGAATTTTATATGGGAAATAAACATAATACTGTTTCTTTCCTCAATAATTTCTAAAAGATAATATTTGAAAGTTTGCATGAAAATTCATTTATAGACAAAGCTGAAAAATTGTTAGCTAATTCACATTTGCTACAGTATTTGGACATATATGTATTTTTACTATATTTTTTAAAGAATTGTTTTATGATTCTTACTCAAGTTCGATACTTTTACTAAGAATTATTGCCTCTCAACAAGAAAATTATTATACAATTGCATATGGGTGAGATATTTAGTAACAGCATTCTCGGAGGCTGGGGAGATGGCTCAGGAGAATAAGCGCTTCCCTGGCAAGCGCAAGGGCCTGAGTTCAATCCCTGGTTCCACCAAAAAACAAACAAACAAAAAACCAGCATTCTCAACTCTGAAGCAGAGAAAAGTTTCAATTATAACAACTAAGAAACCGTATTAATTAGCATAGATGGACACCGGTTATGTGAACTGAAATTGGGAGACAGAGAGATGGGAATTAAAGCCATTACAAAAATGCCACCGCTGAAATTATGTGACAGCAACAAAGGCAGGAAGGCAATACAAGCATCCAAACAGGAAGAAAAATAGATAGAATCACAGTAGTAAAAGCGTAAGTCTAAAGCTAAGATAGACTGTCTGAATCATGGATGCTTATCTGAGTCAATGGATGGACTGAAACTGGTATAATAGTGTGCATGTTAAGCATTATTCAAATTAGTACAAAATGTATTAAACAATGTAAGAAATATATACCTAACTTGGTGTGGCTAAAAAAAAAAAAAAGTTCAACCTGGGAAAGAAAGAAAACAATCATAGCATCCTGGAGAAAAGGAGTAAGAGTTCGCAAGGTAGAAGAAGTGGCAAGAAATGAGACAATGGAAAAAAAGGAGTAAGAGAGCAACACAACAGGGAAACAACTGAAACACTATTCCTATTACTGTAGGAAGTGCGGAAAGCCTGGACTACAGCAGTTACGAGAAAAGAGAGGCCAAATCCAAGAGACTGGACATGAGGGAGAAAGGAAGATTGTGGTTAGGTAGCAAACTTGAACAATTGGGTACAGAGAGCAATCTTGGTTTCTCTTTTAGAGAAGCCTTCCTTGGTCATTCCTCAGTCAGAATTCCTTGCCTCTTAAAAGCAGTAAATAATCTGTCATTATTTCTTACTGACCCAGTGTGACTCCTTCATTACCCTTTACCACACAGAATGCTTAGGTCCCTCAAAATTTGTTAAAACCTAATGCCCAATATAATGGTACTTGGGAATGACTGAAAAAATGAAAGTAGATCCTTCACGGCTGGGGTAATTGCCCTTGTCCTTTCTGCCACATGAGGACATACCAATAAGTGGGCACTCAGCACACAGCAAATCTACCAATGCCTATGGACGTCAGCCTTCAGAACTATGGGAAATAAACCCCTATTGTCTGTAAGCTACCTAGCTTATGATATGTTTGTTATAGCAGACCAAATGGACTAAGAGAGATTTAAGTTAAAGGGCTTTTGCATATGTATTTTATTCACAGTTTACTCAAGCCATATGTTGGACCACATCTATATGTTTATCAATATGTAACCAATCTGGGGACTGCATCTAGCACATAGTGTTCAGTACACAGTTTAGACGTAATGTGCTAGCAAGTTAATGCTATAGCAGAAGAAAAATATGAGGTCAGCAACAAAGAAAACAAAGCTTGAAATTCTAAATACCAAAGACTTCTAATTTGATTTAAAAGTGCTAAGTAGGCAGATGGATGATAGAAGCTTGGATATTCAGGTAACAAGCCTGAAGAAAATATTTTCCCAAATAAGACAAATTTTTATTTCATATTATATATTTTTAAGATATATGACTCAAAACTCAATGTATTCATGTTGCTTACTGAGATAACTTCATACTTGGGAGGTAGGGGCAAATGTGTAATGGGTTTGGTTTTCCTTGTGAGGAGATGAAAACCAGACAGATGTGATAGCTGTAGTCAGCTGTAAAGATACTAAATACGGGGCTGGGGAGATGGCTCAGTAGGATAAGCGCTTGACTGGCAAACACAAGGATCTGAGTTCAATCCCCAGTTCCGCCAAAAAAAAAAAAAAAGATACTAAATACTACTCAATTGTACACTTTAAAGTGGTTGATAAGAAAAAAAAAGTGGTTGATGGTTAATTTTGTATTATATGAGTTTTAACTCAAACTGGAAAGTGTTATTTAAAAGTGAAATATGCAAATCATGTTTTTAGAAAGGGCATAGAGCAAGTACTAGTCAATTAAAAAACAGCAAATTAATTCACTAATACTCTTGTTAAAGAAAGTACTGAAATGTCCAAGATGTTTGGTGCACTTTTACTCCACAACTCAGTATATGAGATCAAAAGCTCAAGTTTCCAAATTACATGCTATGAAATGTTTTTCAGCATTCAGTAACTGGGAACTTTAAAGTGCATACACTCATAGGCACATCAGGACAATAAGGAATAGCTTCTACATCAGCCCACAAAAGCCTATGTAATTCATACTGTAGTCACCTTGTGGAAAAATCCATGATAGATTTTTTTTTAAGAAGTCTACATGGCCTGTTTAAAAAAACAAACAAACAAACAAAAAAAGACTAGAAGGGACTATGAGAACAATAATGCATCTGAAAACTAAGAATAAAGAATAAGGAAAAAATTAACATTTAAAATTTATATTAAGGGATGGAATGTTAAATCTTGTTTGATTAGAAGTGACTGAAGAGGGGCCAGGCATGGTGGTGCACGAAACAATCCCAGCACTTGGAAGACTGGACAGGAGGACATAGCAAGTTCCAGGCCAGTTTGGGCTACATCGCATATTCAAGGCTGGTCTGAACTACATACTGAGACCAGCTCAAAAAAAAAAAAAAAAAAGGAAACACGAGTGTGGCAATTTCCACTGATGGCCATTGGCGGATACCATGAGTGATATTCATATCTGATAGCTGTCAAACTTTTCACAGAGTAGATAAACGCCTGGAGAATAATGTCAGTGTCCTTTGAAACCACATGTAGAAGACTTAACAAACATCTTTTTCTGAGCCGGCCAGAAATAGCTCAGCAGATTAAACCCAGGCCGTGATGGACCTGCCCCTGAGGCATACTGAGACAGCAATTAAGACTGGGCGTGGTGGCTGTAATCTCAGCACTTGGGAGGCTATAAACAGGAGAATCACCACCAGTCCAATCTAGTAATGACCCTGAACACCCTTGTAAGCCCTTCCCTAAACTACAGAAAAAGAAAAAAACCTTTTTCTAGGGTTAATTAGAAATTCCCTTTTATCAAAGTGTATGCAAGGTGCTTTCTAGGAATTGTACACTATTTATATTTAAAAGAAAGAATTTTTTTGGCTTTGTTTTCCTAAATGGGCTGATGGATTAGGAATACTGTGGTAACAATGCTCTAAATCACTAAAATCATGTTCACTTTATCTTTATCTAATGTTTATGAACCCAGTACTATATTACAAAATTCAAATACAAAAATTCCAAAAATAGAAGGTAGAAACATGTAGTCCCTACCCACAAACTCCTTCATGGGTTTTAACCTCCTTTATGGGAAGACTTAGGGTTCACAAAATAACTGGTGTTTTAATCAACATGTGATATGGGAGTTTAAAAATAAAAAAAGGGATATTATTACATGAGGCCAGTGTAGCGAGGACCTCCTGAAAGAGAAAATCCAGCATGATGGCATATGCCTGTAGTTCTACCACTCTTCAAGGCTGAGACAGGAAGACTGAGAGGTCAAATCCAGTTTTGGCCACTTAGTGAGACCCAGTCTCAAAATGAAAAATAAAAAAGAGCTGGGGCTGTAGCTCAGTGTAAGTGCTCTGGGTTCAATCTCTACTACTGAGGGAAAAAAAGCAGCACAGACTTTGGCTGTATGTAAAGAAAAGCCTATCCTACATAAATTATCTCAGTTTTATCATTACACATGCTATACTCCAGACATCACATTGTATCCCATAAATATGTAAATTACTAAATGCTAGTTGAAAAAATTTAAAACAAGAAGGCAATGTATACAACATGTGATTCAAAACGTAAGAGTGAGAATGGAAAAAGTTAGGAAACTCAGAGTATCTATGGAAGTCTTTGCCTCTGATTAAGAGAAATCTGAAGTCTGACTACAAAATAAGTTTACTGCATCACAATTTCATAAAATAGGCAATTAATGACACAAGTTTGTCTTTTAAAAAACTTTCAATTTTTATTTAATATTCATTCAACAAATATTTACTGAGTAGCTACTGTATGACCCCCACAGTGGTACCAGGGTTACTCTTCTTGCTTTAAGGCTTGTCTTTTGGGAAAACAGATATAAGTAGAATGGGAGGTTCTTGCAGGATATAAGTACTGAAAAGAGTTCCTCTAGTTTTAAATACTATCTAGAGATGTATAATAAAATTCTCTGACCTGAGCCCTATGGAAAGAACCAGGAAAACACAAAGAAGAGAGAAGTCTCATGGACAGGGAAGTAACCCATACAAGGACTCTTGAGTTCAGAGCAAGTCATTAAGGAACTGGAAGGGGGCAGTGGAGCAGGGGGACAGCAAGCCAGAAGGAATGAGGAAGATACAAGAAGGATAAGATAAAGCTGGAAAACAGTCAGGAGCCAGGGCGCACACACATTTCTTGTCCTCACTAAAAACTGTAGACTTCATTCTAAAAGAACAGGGAAGACACAGAAAGGCAACCCCAGTTCAGCAAGATGGGAAGAGTTGGAGAGAGTGTCTATGAAGAAACCAGGTAACCTGCACAGAAGAGAAGTACATGCTTGGAGATTTCCCAGTCACAGGAAAACAGTTAAGGTGCAGGACCTCCCATTTCACTGACCAACTGTACAGCACAGAAAAAGCAGAGTGTCCATGCTTGTTAGGTGGGAAGGGCATACTTCTTACCTTTGCACTGCTGCCCTGAGAAAAAAAGGGTAAAGTATAACTTCATAGCCTTCTCTGGGAATTTCAATGTTCATTTTTAAAAACCAAATATAGTAACCAAAAATGTGGTTTATAGATTAATCATGTTAGATACAGTATTTTGAACAAAGGGGGTATTTTAAATCAATCAAACCTGATTCTTAACTTCAAAACTGTCTTAATTATATTTCTTCCTTTAAAAAAAGATATGTAGTAGAAGCCCAGGAAATACTTAAATTTTACATTTTATAATTTACTGAAACTGACTGTGGTAACTGGACTATGTTACACTGTTTTTATCATACTAACTGGGTCTTGGTGCTTTGGTGAAGAGGGAGAAGATTCATTTTCAGGAAAGCAGGGTTTTGAGGCAGTTGGAGATTCCTACAAAAAAATAAGTAATGAAAATGTTACTCTATTTTATATAATTCTATTTCTCCTTCTATTCAGAGTGGGAGAGCTTAATTAGGTCATCTAAAAAAACTATTTTCCTTCCTGTATTCAGTTTCAAAATTAGTATGTTACTGGCTTGAAAACTACTCAGGTTACAAAACATTTATGAGATATGGCATCATTTGTAGTGATTAAATTTTAATAATGCATACAAAATTACTTAAAATAAATGATGCGTGTTGGTTTAAAATCATGTTATCCGGTCTGAATGAATCATATTTTAAATAAGTCTAAACTCTCCCAGAAAAATATGCATCAGTTATCATACCAACTCGTTGACATAGGAAGAATGAATACAAAGGATTAGGCAAATACAGGAATTACTTGGTAACATTCCAAAGAGAACTGTATTTTAGTTGAAAGCTGTATGTTATATAGCTATTTTAATCAACAGATACAACCTCTTAATATTTAAAATAATTTATACCTAACTTTCCAGTGATTAAAAAACTGCAAGATTATAACTTCAAAGGAAGAAAGATAAGATTAAAAGATTAATAACTCATAAGGAAAAATGTTTTAACATCTAAGTCTACAGAGCCCAAAGCATAAACTTAGCATGAAGTTTTACAGTCAGTCTACTTAGTCAAAATTCAAATGTACAGGACTCTTCATGGGGGATAAGACTGAAAACACTTTTTGGTACCAACAATCTGAATACTTATAGGAAAAGAGAATTTTTAAAAATCATACACCAAAATCTGTTATGAATCTTTCTATCACATAATACCTTTGGATATTCATCTCCATATTTATATCATTCGAGTTTTCTATGTTTATGAAAACTGGAAAAGGTACTAAAAACAAATCAGGGAACTTGTTTTAAGCAACATTGCAAAAACCATTAACTCAACATTTGTTCACCTAGAAAAAAAAGGTCATCAGATTTAGCACCCACACAATTTGTAAACACAGAAATGAGACACCTTAAAGTTTACAGGGAAACATTTGAGGGGATATTATTACAAATCAAACACCCAAAGTAAATACAATTAATGAGTACTAAAATCACATTAAAAATGTCTTTATAAAAAATAATTAAACTTAGCTTTCCAAATTTCAGTGTAACCTCGCTTAAGATTTTTGACAACTTCAAGTCAGTTTTTGCCTTCTATAAAAGTATATTATTAAAACAGTCTGACAAAGGGGAAAGATTTGTTGATCCACAAACCAGAAGTTACTTGAACTTAAAAGAGTAATTATAATTTACTTTTCAAAGCACTGTTAGGCCTATAGCGAATAAAAGACAAATATGGAATAATAATCTATGCATAGCAATTATCACTAGTATAAACAAGAACAACAACATTTATAAATATATTTGTACATTTAAATAACATTATCTACAAACAAGAGTTTTAATTTAAAAAAACATACATAAGCATAAACAAACAGATTAACTCACAGTCAAACACCAATATCCTCCAATATTACCCACATACTGAATTAGTATCTGTGTTGTCACAACAGCACTTGCTTCACAGTGCTAGGTTTCTTTGGTTCCATTTCAACTTACATATATTTTATCTCATATAATGTACTGTTCTGATTATTTTTTCACACCCTCAAAGGACTACCCTTTTAAAAGATATATATAAATATGATCAAAATATATGGTGAGGGCCAGGGTGACAGCGCAGAAGAATAAGTGCCCGCCTGGCAAGCACAGCATCCTGAGTTCAATCCCCAATATTATAAAATAAATAAATAAATAAATAAATAAATAAATATTTATATATAGTGAATATTTTAAGAATTTTATTGAAAAAGACATTTCACTGCCATTAATACTTAACAATAATTCTCCTTGTTTCTAACACACTTACCACACTGTTCACTTTCTGAAGAACCACTACTAGAGTCATCTTTCATAAATCTCTTTATGAGATGCAATCAAAAGTGCAGTGAATGCTGCTGCCAAATGCTATCCAACAGAATGGCAAGCTAATAAAACCATTATAATATGTCTTCATCCCACTTATTCATCATTCCTGTCATGAGACTTCTGACTCTTCCCAAAGTCAAAATGACCATAAAAGGTAAATATTTTCAATCAATTAAGGACATTGAAGTGGCAAGAATGATGTGATAAGTACGTTCAAAGTGAGGAGTATTTTGAGAGGGATTAATGTTAATGTGTCTTTTACTATAGTCCTTTAAAAAATTTAAATATTTTTAATCACACTGTATGTAGATAATGATGAACAAGGTTTACTTATTGAAGTTAGTATGAATCAATTTACAAAGGGAAAAGGGCATCTCTATTCAAATTAAGTAATCTCTGGTCTCAAAACAATCATATTCTTGCAACTCTGGGACAATTAAATCAAAGAGGAGATATAATAAGACTTCATCCAAGTTATTTGAAGCAAACATTGAAGATGAATCTCAAAAGAACTTTAAAACAAGGCATTTAAGTTTACATCATCAAATTATCATCCTTTATTTCTTCTGATACAAATAGAAAATAAAGGTAATTTAACAATGTCTTTTGCCCTGGAGTACTATACATGATATTTAAGACCTTTGATGAATTTTTCTACTAAAATATTCCTAGCAGTTTACCTGCCTAGGCTAATGGCAATGCTATTTTCAAGTATATCTTGAATAGCACAGACTCCAGAATGTTATTCATTTAATATGCCTCCTACATTCAACTTATATAACATTCTTTTTTTTTTTTCCCCAGAACCGGGGATTGAACTCAGGCCCTTGCACTTGCCAGGGAAGCGCTTATTCTACTGAGCCCTCTCCCAGCCCCTGTAACATTCTTATAAAAGCTATGAACTGGTCTGTTTTCACTGCTCTTTACATATATCTTACAAATGTGTGACACTACTTTTACAGCTCAACAGAAGTCCACTATTAATATACAAAGATTAATTTTACAATCATGTATATCAAAATATACTCATTTTGACTGATCAATTGAAATCAATTGTTAATAAGGAATTATGACTGAAAGTTTTCAAATAAAGACAAATATGCCTGAAGAGTTCATTTTAGTTTCACTAATACACCTAAAAAGTACAGCAAAAAAAAATCTAGAAAACTTAATTTTGCTAATAAAGAAGCCCTACACCAAAAAGAAAAAAGGAAAAGAGTCAGTCCTCAATAACAGATAACTTTTTTTAAATGACAGGCATGGTGCACATGCCTATAATACCAGCACTCAGAAAGCTGAGGCAACAGAATCATCAGTCCAAAGCCAGGCTGGAATGCACAGTGAGACCCAGCCTCAAAAAGGCTAAAGTAAGCAATAAGTTTATTTAGTTTTGAGATGTTACTACCTACCACCTTTGCATTCTAATATTGGTATGTCTGACGGTCTTCAAACAAGTAGTAGGTACCCTATTTCCCAAATGAAGCTACACTGTAAAGATGTAATTCCTAAGGAAGATTTTAAAATGTTTCTTGGATATTTGCATCAAAATATCTGAATTCTAGTCTTTCCTGCAGGCTAAAGACATGCAAAGGATGACAGAGATATGACCCTAAAATGTCTCATTAGGGTCTAGTATGTCAAACATACAACACTAAGCTACAACTAAGTCGGTTCATCACAAAAATTGAAAAAAAATTCAAAGCCAAGCCTATTCCAGAAAAACAAAGCCTAACTACTAAGGTAGATAATTTAGTTCAGGAAAAAATAAATATCGGTATATTTCATTATATGCAAATCAAAGCTTAACCTG